CGCCAGTAGGAAACTTTATGGAACAGTTTTAACGCGACGTTGTTTTGTGTTTAACGCATAGTCTCTGAGGAACCTACTCCATATTTTCCTTCGGCGTAGAGCGAAAATGAAACCCATATGTTTGGTTTCCTACTGATTAAACATAGCCTAAAGGATTTTTACTATTATAAGTACCTATAGACATTAAGTTGTCTCAGTATACCGTTAATATCTTTATATTAACCCCATTATAAATATTTGTTTTACACGAATTTACAGATATATCCGTGATAAACTTGACCTAAATTTATATATTTCACCAAGGATGTGTGATTAGCGGGTAAACCTTTGTTTCTTAAATACTCTATACATTTTCCTATACTAAAAAAAATTTCTGTTTTATTATTATTTATATCCACTAATAAAACCGATTTACTTAAGGAATTCAGAGGTTTATTTTTATTGTATTTTTTTCTATCTTTCTCCAACATTAAAGCTAAATCTAAAAGAGAAATATCTTTAACTTTAGCCGTTAATATAGGCTCTCTAGTGAAAAGATATTTACCTAAATAATAAGTACCATTTGTTAAATGTTTATTAAATGTAAAATGAGCAATGTTAAGATTAATAATGAAATCCTTTTGTTGTGTTGAAGAATAATACAATATACTCTTATCCCTATTATACATAAACAATGGCTTTGCATTTGACCCGCCAGGATTATTTGCAACCTTTACAGTATTTAAAGAGAAATCTGGGTCTAATAAATAATATTGTTCTAATACTATTTCTGATCTAAAATTGTAATTATCGTACAAAGGTACTATCTCTAAGGTAAAACTTGACAATTTATCCTTAGTTAAAAGAGGTATTAATATACCTATGGCTCTATGTCTTCCTTTAAGATAGCCATATACCCTTAGACCTAATTGTGAAGAAGATCCGACATTTCAGAGTTATGTAAGCGTAATTAATCTCACCCACCTCTACCCCTCATTGGCTTTAATCTGAAATTTAAGATTACTATATCCAACTACACTAGCATAAAACGCTTATTCCTAAACGCTTATTCCTATTTGGCAGAACTGAAGCTACCTTATTAGAGAAACACTTAGTCACTTGAAATGTGCAATAAAAACATAACACTAGTTTTCTGTCGACTTTTAAAAGTTAATTTTTTTTTTGTTTATACTTTAATCTATCATTATCTAGCATTAAAGTTAATTCAGCTATAGACATTTTCTTAAATTTAACTACTAATACAGGTTCTTTGGTGAATAGATATTTTCCTAGATAGTACGTACCATTTTCTAAATGTTTTTCAAATGTAACATAATGAATTTTAAGAATATCTATAAAATCTTTTGGTTGCATTGAATAATAATATAAAATAGTCTTATCCCGATTAAACATATATATGTAGCTAGACTTCTGATATGTCTCTTTATTTAATTTAGATAATGAATAAATAATTTGTAATTTTCCTTCTAAAGTTTTATGACCATTCGAATGAATAATTTTTACAATTTCTTTCCATATTTCAAAGTTATGATACTTAGTTGAAATTGAAGGAATAGGATATTTATCAAAGAACGGTATTATATAATTTAAACAATCTTTAATAGATTCCACTGCGTAATTAAAACTATTACCGTTTTTATAAATGTTTCCTACACCCAAATAACTTTTGATTAATTCAAGCAAATGTAAATCTTTACTGTGTTGAGTTATAAAGAATCTAGCTCTGAAAGCTTTCACTCTATATGGAGAAGCTAAAAATGACCCATCTGCAGATACAAATCCTACTAACCAGTAAGGATCATAAATTGTAAGCTGCTCCATACTAGGTAGCACATAAGATTTAATATCTGAAAAAGCAGTTTCTAATTTTTTTGGAAGTCCCTTGTTACTATTAGCCTTAATACTAATAATTTCTTGGAGTCCTTCAGTTGTTAAATGACCACCGGTTTTTATAATATTAATAACTTTACTTCACAAGATAAAATCTTTGCGCTTATTAGTTAATAAAGGATATGAATTAAAGTGAGGAATTACAATATTAATTAAATCTTCAATTTTTGAAACCTTAAAATAAGCCACATTATTTTTAGAATCTATAAATATATTCCCTACTCCTTTAAAATATTGCTGAATACCTAATAATAAGGGTAATTCATTTTTATGTAAGCCAAATTCTAAATTAGCCTGCACGCGCCATTTTAATTTTGAGGAGGATCTAGAATATACTGAAATATGAAAACAACCTTCGCCATCTATGAACCCCGATATCCAGTTAGGATTAAGAACGCTTAAATCATCCAAATTTCGATTTAAACCTGTAGTATAAAATCTTTTTCCTACTGGAAGACCCTTTTTCTGGATCTTCTTAAAAATATATTTACCTTTATATGGTTTAGTTTGATTATTAGCAAAATACTTAGAAATTGTACCATTATTGATATTTAAAGCACGAGCTGCTGCACTAATTGAATCATATCTAGTCATTTCATTAGTATCTTTATCAAATACTGAAATTTGTTGAGAAGGTATCTTAGCAAGACTTTCAGGGCTATGCTTTTTACAAAAATTAGGATGATCTTCTCCTTTCTTAAAACGACCAGAATTTTTTCTTTTCTTAGCAGACTCAGACATTTTTTGTTTAGTCTCCTCTGAATGGCTATGGCCATACATTGGATGATTTTCTCCTTTTTTTAGACCTATATTAGCTGTTGATATCATTAATTTAGACTTCTCGGAATGTTTACGCCCAGACATTGGAGCAGCAGGATCCTGGGTGAGATTATACTCTGGGTTTAATAAATAAAAATAATGTCTCTCCCTTTCTAGACATTTGGATGGTGAACAGTATTCAATAATAGTAAGAGAAAATTTAGAATAATCGTATTTAAGCAGAGCCCGGCAAATATACATACAGGTATTTCTAAGTAAATAATTAGTATTAAAATATTGTAGAAATCTTGCTCTTAAATTCTCTGAAGAACCTACATAGCTTTTTCCGTTGATTAAATTTTTGAACATATAGATACCTGCTTTATTATAATTATCTTGTAAAATCTGAAGTTTTTCAATATCTACATTATTATATTTAGGCAATTTAACAATGACTGAATTATTAGATTGAACCAAAGAACCAATTGAACTATTTTTTGTTTTTTTCATGTTTTTTTTTTTTGATTATTTATACGCATAAAAATAGAACATTAATAATATATTTAACTATAATTACTCTACCGTTACTAGGATCAATTAGTTCCCGTCTTTAAAGATACTTTAAAGTAAAAGACGGGATGCTTCCGGTATTCTTGGTAGAAATATTCGGAGCCACTGGAATAATTACTTAGTTTTAACATTATTTTATCTCAAGGTCCCCCAATCTTATCTTTAATAATTTTTATTGTTTCATCCTTATTTAAATTATCAAAAACAAATCTAGGTGCAGCTAATAAAGATTTGAATATATCTTCAGTAATTCTAATACCACAATAAGCTAAAATGTCATTAATTATCTTCACTGTAACACGTTGACCACTTTTAATTTGCTCATGTGCTAATCTATGAGATATTCTATTAGAAGAACCCTTTCGACCTAAAACTTCTTTTCAAAAATTTTTATCCTTTTTAGGTGGTTTATTATTATTATCTGAGCTACTGTTAGAGCTCAAATAACATTTTTTGTTATTTAAGGTCAGTTTAAAACGACGAGACCCTGGGGCGATACAGGCCGGCCCGCTTATTGAGTTTTTTAAACTCATTAAAACAAATATGTCACATATAATGTTCCTAAAGTTAATAGCACCCAAAAGTGAACTTATACCAGATAAATGTAATCCAAATATAGCTAAATCTACACTAGCTCCACTATGACTTTGGATTCCTGATAGCATGGCGATCAAATTTATCTTACAAAATACGACGACAAGTAACTCAACTTAGTTAAAGGTATTAAATAAGCCTTGCTTTCACAAGCTTTATCGTAGACCAGTGTACTTGCTAACTTTTTTTATCTACGTCGCTATTAAAAAGTTTAACAAAAATTATGCCACTTGTTTTTTTTTATATGAGGCTTTAATCGAATAATTTTCTACGAGCTTCTCCTTATCTTCCTATTAGTTATTTTTCTATTATATTATCTAATACCTATTCACTAGTTATCGACAAGATAAATAAAAACAAAATTATAGGGGTAGGAAAAATTCAAATTCCTGTATTTGTCAAATAATAAAAACCAAGTCTCCGAGGGAGACTTACTTCGAAGGGGGCAAGCCCCTTCGGAGCTAGGTAACTCCCTTAAATAACCTTACCGTTCCCTAGAAACGGCCTGTGCACAGACGGGACC